AGTGCAAATGATAGGTGTCCATCAAGATGAGATGGCTTGGCAGCACTTGGGAGTTTCTCCTGTGTTTCCAGATCAACTCCTGCTTCAGGCAGACACCGAGCGCAGGTGTCTGCACCACCATCAGTGCTTTCTAATATTCAGTAATTGAAGTCTTTGACTTGGCCAATTTAAGCAGTCTGGGTGGGTTTTTTTCCCCTTGGATGGTTCTTTTTTTTTCTCTCTCTTTTTTTTTTTTTTTAAATGACAGTAAAGCAAAAAAATAACCTGCTCTCGAATCGGCTCTAGCCAAGAACTTGCAAAAATTTTGGCAGAGCTCAAGGACAGAGATTTTTATGATGAAAACTTCTTGACATAATAAAAGAAATTGTTCTGTGAAGTAACCCCAGAAAAAACAATGTAAACCTGCTGTCTCCCTGGGAGCAATGAGGAGGTCTGAGTTAATTGCTAGCGCCTTTAATCTCCATCTCCCTCGTGATTTTCACTCTGGAGGTTCAGATTGACTCTGATTAGCTTGACTAGAAGACCTGATTCTGTCCCCAATTACGCTGCTGTAAATCAGATGAGCATCTTTATTACAACTGATGAAATTGTTGTGGCATGAGCAAAGCAGGAGGGTCAGAATCACAGGAGACTTAAAAATAAGTCTGATTGTCCACTCTCATCCTGCTCCTATTAGTGGGGTGATCAGGGACTGCCTGACTGGTGTCCAAGCCAGAGATCAATGAAGTTAAAATTGTCTTTATCTTCAGCTGGGTGAGTTTTTTATTGAATTCTTGCAGTGATAGGAGAGAGGATGAGACATAAGACTGGGGGCTTTAGTACTTGCCCTCTTGGGTAGTAATGGGAGAGAAATGATTTATCCCATCCCTGCCCACGATGTGGGAGAGGTGAGGAACTGAACAAGCAGGGAAGGAGAATCAGCATCATACAGGGCCTCCAGCTCAGCGCTCTGCCCATCCCAGGCCTTTGCAGGCAAAAATCCTTTCCCCAGGCTGAGGGGGCATCTGCAGTTTTGGGCACCACAATATAAGGAAGATCTGAAGCCGTTAGGGAGAGTCCAAAGGAGGCCACGAGGATGGGGAAGGGCTTTGATTTGAAGGCGTGTGAGGGCACTGAGGACACTTGGGGTGTTCAGCTGGAGGAGACTGAGGGGAGAGTTCATTGCAGTTCCAACTTCCTCAGGAGGGGCAGAGGAGGGGCAGGACTGAGCTCTGCTCTGGGGGGAGCAGGGACAGCCCCCAGGGAATGGCTGGAGCTGTGTCAGGGCAGGCTCAGGGTGGATCTCAGCAAAAGGTTCTTCCCCCAGAGGGTGGTTGGCACTGAACAGGCTCCCCAGGGCAGTGGGCACAGCCCCAAGGCTGCCAGAGCTCCAGGAGGGTTTGGATGATCCTCTGGGGCACAGGGGGTGACTCTTGGGGATGGTTCTATGCAGGGCTGAGGGTTGGACTGGATGATCCCTGTGGGTCCCTTCCAACCCAGCCTGTCCTGGGATCTCCTCTCCCGCTGGGTCTGCAGCACAGTCAGAGCCAGCAGCCCCCTCCAGCACAACTGTGCCAATCATCTTAATTGAATCTTTCAGCTATTTCCCTGCAGCTGCCAATATTAGTGCCACGTACCTTGCACATCTTTTTCATCAGAGCTGAATTAGGAAACGTGTTCTTGCCATCTTATCTCCGTGGATAAATAATTGTATGTTGCATTTATTGGAGGCTTTGAACTGGTACATTTGGAGATGCTGTTTAATATGACTCTCTGTGAACAACCAGGGCTTGAACAGAATTTAATTACTGAGAATGGATTGCTGAGATTGGAAGGCACAAGAAAGGTGCTCCAGGTCTTTGGAAGACATCTCTAAAGGGCTTGGAGGGCCAAATGCTGGAGGTGCAGTCAAGTGGATTAATCAAACTGGAAAGTGAAGAGAGGAGGAAGTCATTTCTGCTTAGTGAAATAGGTGAGATTGCAATCAGGGTGCCCCAAGGGAGGAACAGCAGGCAAAGCAAGGCTGGAAAAATGCACCCGTGTTCTTGGGAGAGTGGTGAGAGCTGCAGGATTTCCCTCTGACTTCATGAAATCCCAGAATGGTTTGGGTTGGAAGGCACCTCAAGGATCACCCAGTTCCACCCCCTGCCATGGGCAGGGACACCTTCCTCTAGCCCAGGTTGCTCCAAGCCCTGTCCAACCTGGCCTTGGGCACTTCCAGGGATGGGACATCCACAAGTTCATCTGGTCTGAGAATTCAGTGTGCAGGATCAAAGTGTGCGGTGCAAGCAGTGAACCTTGTGCAGATGCCTTTGTCTTAGCTCCAAAACTAGTTGGAGAGTTCAGTTTGTGGTGCATAAACCGGCTGTTGGCAGGTTCAGGTGCTCTGGTTCCCATTTACACCCAGGCCTTGCTGGGGACGTGCAGTGAAAACGTCCTCGTAAAAGTTGTTTGGAGCACTTTAAAGGGCAGCAAGGCAAGAGCCAGGCTGGAAAAATCCCAGACCCTGTTCCAGAGCAGACAGGTGGCTATGCCTGTGTGTTGTCCTGCATTTCTCCAGAGCTCCCTGATTAGCAGAAGCAGGCGGATGTCTGTGGTCCCGCTCTCCTGCGGGACTGCTGCTACTCCCTAATCCCAGCAGGTCCTTCCCCTCGGCACTGCTGCCTTTATGCTGGGTGGCTGAGGCCAAGAATGAATCCCCAAAGATGTCAAACAGGAGAACAAAAGCCCAGAGGTGTGTTTATGCCTCCTGCAATCCCCTTGCTTTACAAGTGAGTAGTAAATAATGCAAGTTCTAATTACGTCCTAAATATTCGCCGGGGCAGGATGAGCAGTTTTGAGCCCTCCGGAGGAGAAACCTGGCGTGCTGATTGATTCTTGTTCAAAGGGCTGTCTAGCATGCAAGAAAAATGTCTCTATAAATGCTGGTTGGCCCTCAGTGTTGTCTCAGCAGCTGTTTCCCAGGTGGGGAGGTGGCAGCACCTGCAGAAGCCCGAGAGCAGCCCTCGGGAAGCTCCTCTTGTACAGAGGGCTCTGTGTTTAATCATTCTGATGTGTCAGATTTGAGGACTGCCAGCCAAGTGCAGATCCGGTGGAGGGGTGTAGCTGATCCATTTGGGGGTCTCTGGGCTCGTTTGTCATCCCTAAGTGTAGATGGATGGAGCACCTGCTGTGCCAGCTGTGCCTCCAAACAGAGGGAAGGAAGGGAGGGGACTGGAACAGCACAAAGGAAACGATTTCTTGGGTAATTGGCAGTGATTTGGTTTAGCCTTATGTCACCTCCCGACTCCATCCCTGTGTTTTGCCTGTGAACCTGCAGTGGCTGTGAGAGGATCAGCTGCAGGGCACAGCCCACACAGGCCAGGGACAGACCCAGAGAGAACTTTGCTCTCCATAAATGTTTTCCCCCGTGTTCAGGGAAAGGCAGGAAGGGGCAGCTGGGCTTTGATTGCTTGTTGGTTCCACGCGGCTGAACACCCCGATTGCTGCCCTGATTGTTGAACCCGGGCAGCTTAACCCCTTCCCAGGCTCCACGGGAATCACAGCACTGGAATCCACACGCCCACAAAAAAAAAAGAGGTCTCTCCTGCTGGAAACCATCTGCCACAGGTTGATCTCTGGGGTTCATGTGGATTGAAAGGATTCTTTTGGGGTTTGTGAAACCCCTGTCGCTTCTGGGCTGGTCGGGACAGGACAAGGGGCAGTGGTTTTAAACTGCCAGAGGGCAGGGTTAGATTAGGGCAGGGTTAGATTAGGGCAGGGTTAGATTAGGGCAGGGTTAAATTAGATGTTGGGAAGAAATTCTTTACTCAAGGGGTGGTGAAACACTGGCACGGGTTGCCCAGAGAAGCTGTGGCTGCCCCATCCCTGGAAGTGTCCAAGGCCAGATTGGACAGGGCTTGGAGCAACCTGAGCTAGTGGAAAGTGTTCCTGCCCATGGCAGAGGGTGGGACTGGATGGGCTTTAAGGTCCCTTCCAACCCAGTTCCCTGGTTTTATGGTTCTGTGAAGCAAAGCGCTGTTGTCCAATTGCCGACCATCACCAACCAGCAGCGAGGGTGGGATGTGAAAGAGTATCTGGTGGATATAAGGAGGAACAGGAGATGTGGGAGATGCTGGTATAAAGCAGCTAGTGTGTCAGCAGGCCTGAGTGCTGGTTGGTTTTGGTGTGGAGCTGTTCCTGCAGGGGGGCTGTGAGGTTGCACGTGCTCCAGCACAGCGAGTGGGTCTGAAAACTCGCTGGTGAAACATCAGCACTTCGACTTTAGGGTGAGGAACCACAGGTGGGTGGGATTTCCCTTCCGGCAGCCACAAGGTGAAACTGTGCTGGAATTCCAGCTCCAGGATTAGCAGCAAGGTTGCACCAGAATTTTGGTGTGTTTTTTACCTAAATAAGAACTGTAAATTACGTGGTAGAACTCACTCTGCTCTGCACACAGCCTGTGTGGTGTTAATTAAATCCTCAGCTTCCTTTTTTTTAGTGAAAGGAAGGCTGAGAAAATGAGTATTAAATCAATCCTGCATTTAATTTAAGTAACTCTTTTCTATTCAGATGCTTTCCCACTATGATATTGGTGATGCAGTTGTATTCCTGAGCCAGTATGAATCTCAAAGAAGTTGGTTTTGAGGAAACAAAATTGTCTTAAAATCTGGGAATTTTATGGGTAGCATCACAAAACCAGGAGCTAAAGGTAAAACTCCAGATCTCTGCACACAGAGGCTTTTTTGATTAGAATCCCTCCTTGGAATTTCTTTGTGCTGCCTCAAAGCCAGCGTTTCAGGTGGTTTATTTGAATGTTCCATCGTTTTAATTGTGCCAAATTCCTGTAGAAACCTCAGACCAGTCCTTTGGTCCCTCTTTGCTGCTCTCCTAAGCCAGCTGGGAACAGAAGTGCAGCAGGTCTGGGTGGATCCCAAGAGGTGCTGTGGAGTGATGAGTACGAGGCACCATCAGAAGATTGACATTTAATAACTTTTTGGTTGGCTTTTGTCCTTACACTTTCTTTCTCTGTCTTCCTGTAGGTTATAACCCTGGAAGGATGGGTTGACATCATGTATTATGTGATGGATGCACATTCTTTTTACAATTTTATATATTTTATATTGCTTATAATAGTAAGTATGAACTTGGGAGATGCTCCCATTCCTTTCCCTTGTGGGGTCAAGTTGTTCCCTGGCTTCTTCCCGGGGAAGAGCCAGGCAGGATTCAGAGGGGGAGACCTTCCTGCTGCCATCAGGTGTAATCAGGCAGGCTGTGCTTCGTGCTGTGGGGGCTGATTATTGGCTGTGACAGCCCTGCTCAGTGTCCCATGTGCTGCCCAGTCACAGCTTGTCAGGCCATATGGTCTCCCTCTCGCCCTCCCAGCCTTGGGCTTGTCACCTCGATGTGTCTGAGCTGCTGTGCCTTGGCCAAGCAACTGTTAATCAGAACAAAAAGCAGAGAGGCTGCAGCTTTTCTTCCTCTGGTCTCCTCAGTGTGCCAGAGGACACCTCCTCTCAGTGGAGGGCCCTTAAACTTTTTGAACTTCACCTGAGCCCTTCAAATAACAATAATCCCAATAATAGCACTGCAGCTTTCTGAGGTCTCACAGTGCTGTTGTTCCTAAAAAAAAAAAAGTATTACCCACTGGAGGTGCTGGAGGGCATCTTCAGAAGCTGCCATTCCATGTTAATAAGGTTCTGTTTTCCCAGTGGGCACAACCTTCTCCAGGGATCTACATCTGTGGGAAGGGGAAGCATTTAAGTCAAGAAGAGGGAAAGGTACCCTGTATTTGTCAGGCAGGACATGGGGTGGAGGCACTTAAAAGTGCTTTGGAGGCTGGGTTTTCCTTATATATAACCTCATCCTCATCAGTGTGGGTTTGAAGGCCTTGAGAATGGAACCCAGCTCTCAGCAGCAGTGGGAAAGGCATGGATCAGAGCACTGAGAGTGTCCCAGTCAGGGAGAGCATTTTGAACTCAGTGATTTTTGAGCTTTAGCAACGGGCCATGAATAGTAGGGATTCACACTCCACTGCTCTGAGCCCTTCTCTGCACATGGATCCTTGCAGAAAAGCCAGGAGGTGACTAATCTCCCAAGTCACTTGGAGCTGGGAAAGGCACCCTTGCTGCTTCCCTACCAGTATCCAGGCTGATATTCCCAAACTGGAGATCAGCACCACAAACCACCTCCCAGCGGCTTCCCCTTGAGGATTCCCCAGACAATGGCCCAGATTAAATCCATGTGTGTCCTGCTGAGCCCAGCACTGAGGTTTGGCCCTGCAGACAGTGGCACTTGCCTGACGTCAGCCCCCCTCACACCCAAGGGCACCGATTCCCTGCTGCGAATATTTGGCATTTCCCTTTGGCGGATTCACGAACCCAAGTGGCGAGAAACCAGTTTGTGGACTCAACAGCTGAGGGAGGAACGTAGCCTTGGGTCACTTCACATTCTTATCCTTGGGAACTAAAACTCAGTTGTCGCCCAAGAACACATCCACTCAAGCAGGCAAGAAATCAGGCCCCTCTCTAGGAGCGCTGAACCTCCTGGAGGTGCATTTCCAAGGGTGGACTCTGTTGGGGTGTGATCAAAGTGACTGAAGAAAAGACCCTGTTCCAGTAGAGCACAAATTGGACTTCAGACCATCTCTCCCTGCAGGTTGGCCAAATGTCCTGTGGTGGTGACTGCTTGCCTCGTGTTCCACCCGGCGTTTGTAGCAAATGCCATCCGAGCTGAGGGGAGGAGGGCGGTGAGGGCCGTTGTTAAAAGCTCGCTTTGCCGTTGCCAAAATAATTTAGCATGGCTTAGGAGCAAATTTAGCAGGCCTGGGCCACCTGTGGGCATGACATTTGGTGAGCAGACCCTGGGATTTGGCGCGTTTGGGAGCCGGGCTAAGAACCGCGCTCCCTGTCCAGACGACACGTGGCGGTGGGGGGCGCGAAATCCCTGCTAATCCCCTCTCCCCGTGTTCCCTCCAGGTGGGTTCCTTCTTCATGATTAACTTGTGCCTGGTTGTGATAGCCACACAGTTCTCTGAGACCAAGCAGCGGGAGAACCAGCTGATGCAGGAGCAGCGGGCCCGCTACCTCTCCAACGACAGCACAATCGCCAGCTTCTCGGAGCCGGGGAGCTGCTACGAGGAGCTGCTCAAGTACATCTGCCACATCTTCAGGAAGGTGAAGCGCAGGACCGTCCGCCTGTACCACAACTGGCAGAGCAAGCGCCGGAAAAAGGTGAACCCCAACGGCGGCGCCAACGGGCAGGGCCACCGCGGCCGCCGGCGCATCACCTCCATCCACCACCTCATCCACCACCACCACCACCACCACCACCACCACTACCACATCAGCAACGGCAGCCCGCGGGGCCCGCGCCCCAGCCCGGAGATCTGCGACCTGGAGCTCAGGGTGGTGAAACCCGGGGCCCAGCTGATGCTCCCCG